GGGCCAGGGCGCAGAGCAGCCTGGGTCAGGGGTTGGGGAGGGGCGGCTCTGGCCGGCTCCAGGGGCTTAGCGAGGGGAATGGTGGGTACTGGGGGGCCCTTCCCCTTAGTGACACCCCAAATTCTGCACCACCCCCCCAGAACGAGGAGCTGGACGACATTCTGAAAGCACTGGACCTCTCCAGCCCCGACGAGGGTGAGTGCCCCCGGGGGAGGGGGCAGGGCCGGAGGCCGGGGTGATGGGCTGGCCATGCCAGGCTCTGCATTGAACCCAGGAGTCCTGGCTCCCAGCCCCCCCCCAGCATTGGCCCTGTCATTTGGGTGAAGCTGCACCAGCCCCTAGGTTGGTGGCCTGGCCCCGGGCCGCTCCCTTCACCCCGACCCCCCATCGCTCTGTCGCCTCCCGGGCGGCACCTTCTCCAGCCCCCCAGTGCTCGGGCCCTCCTGCCCCCTCGCCAGTGCAGACGGCGGAGCCCCGAAGCAGTGCCGGGAGGCTGGGGGTCGCTCTCGGCCGTAAAGCCCCCACTCGGCGCCTGGCACCGCATTGACCCCCTGCCATTGCCCGTGTCTGTGCCGAGGAGACGGCCTGGACCCGCCGGCGCCAGTCCCTTGGTCCACCCCCCCGGGCGCTTCAGCGGAGGGTTCGTTCCTGGGCCAGGGGAACCGGCCGGTCGTCACCCTGCCCCGGCTTTCCCCGCCGGCCGGAGCCCATTGAACGCGGCCGGCGGCAGGTTGGTGCCCTCCGCTCCCTGCTCTTCCGGGCCCCGGGGCCAGCGAGCTGAGCTGAGCCAAGCCAGGCCGGGCCGGGCCGGGCCGGGCCGAAGGGCTTCTCCTGCGAGGTCCTGCATCCCATCGGCTGGCAAGGAACCGCCCCCCCTTCCTCCTCCTCCTGAGCCGGGGAGAGAACCCAGGAGTCCGGGCTCCCAGCCCCTCCCCGGCTTGAACTATTTGACTTTCTGTTCCAGATGCTCTTGGCCCAGCGCTAGCACCAGGTGCCCCCTACGCCAGTGACGTAGCAACAGGTGGGTAAATCCCCATCTGTGCCTCCCCCCGCCCCCGCAGCCCTGCCGGTGCCCCTCACTCCCGACCTGCAGCCCCTTGCCAGCCCAGCCCTGCCAGTGCCCCCCCCCCCCCCCCCCCCCCCCCCCCCCCCCCCCCC